TTTGCTTCAGATAAAAATAATTAATGTATACAGTATATAATTGCCTAGTAATTGTGTAGGGTAATGGTGAACTTACAAATATCAAATTAACTTGACATGTATGGTTATGAAATAGAAAGCACATGGCATAAGTACATGCTGATATTAGAAAGAATGAAATTTAAAATTGAAACAGTGCTGCAGGTGAGGTTAGTAATATAGCACATCATCCTAGTTGGGTATTATGTGCTCAGAACTTTCCCATCATTTATGTGCTTGGTTAGTACTATATGCCAAAACCATGAAACTTTCTTTGTAAGGAAGTAGCAAGAACTCAGATCATAAGCTTAACAATATAGTTAATAGGAAAATTATTATAAGTGGCTGATAAACACTGTTGACATTGTCATTATATATAATGCTGTACTGTGTTAGGGCAGTTGGAATGTAATGTAAGAGCTGGAGTAAGCTATTCAGGAATTGTACGAAGCTGTGATCATCAAATTCAATAGAAGAATTGTGACTTTTATTAATGTCATGTTAAATGGAACACATTTTTGTTAATAATGAACTTAAGAAAAAATCCAGTAACTTGCAAAACTTTTGTAAATTGTGGAAAATTTTGGTTGACGAATGTTTACATACACAATGCATTATGATGTACATATATTTGCAAAACGTAACTTGATAATTTAGTGAATGTTATGCATAATTCAAATAAGGTTTTGTATTTCATTTTTATTGGGTATTGGAAATCTCTATATTTTTTTTAATATCAGGACCAAGTAGTTTGTTGCTGTAAGATAAATTAGTTTTCTTTTTTCGATTATGTAATGCAGTGTGTTGCCAGAGTAAATCAGATAAGTTTGAGTGATGCCTTTAGTGCATTTCATGAATATTATAATTTTTTTATATAAATGAACAACAGTCAGTCCATGTGTCCTTGCATTTAAAGAAAAACTTAAGATTTCAAGACCATATTTTTTTTTATGAAGTAGCCTAACATTCTGGGACTTATTTAGAAAGTTTCATTCTGATTTTAGTTTAGAAATGGTGATTCATTAATTGTAAGGAATTTACAGTAGTGAAGTTAATTCATTAATTTTATTTGTAACTACAGTAGAAGCATTTTCTTTTAGTTCATGTCATTACACCTAAAGGCATCAGTTATGATTAATTAAAGACTATGTTGAAGCCTGGCTTCAGGCTGAGCTGCAGGGATAGAAGAACCCTCAAAACTGGTCACTGGTAAGGCACAGATAAAGGACTGATAGTTTCCATATATTAAAACAATAACTAATGCTATTACAATTCTGGTGAGTTGCCAGTAATTGGAAACTAAGTGTATTTAATGTAATTTTATATTGTGTTTTTATACACATCAATATTCATTGATTGGCTTCACTGTAGCTTGATGAGGATATATCGTAAGGTTTTTCTTTATAACTGATTTACCCTTTTCTCCCTCTACTAATTCTTATGACTTAGTGAGAAATATTTATATATTTTTTATAGATTTGCAAATTGTAATATATTAAGAAATTTAAAATAATAGTAAAAACTTAAATATAATAAATAAATAAAGCATTCTTGTTAGAATATATATTTCACTGTAAGCTAATTTCATAGGTACAGTAATTTTTTTCTTTAATACTCATCTGAAGAAATTGTTAAACTATGGAGCATATATTTAAATATACTGTACTTTAAATGTACAATATACCATTAGTGTTGTGATCAATTATTCATCTACAACACAGTTTGTTAATAAAAGAAGTTAATCTACATTGTTATAATTTTGTAGTTTATTAAGTTTTTCATCTGTTTAAAAGCTGTGAATGAAACCACATATCTTTGTCTTGTCTTGATTTTGATAAGTAAAGACTGTAATTAACACATTGCTTTTGAAAATGTTAAATAAGAACAGGCACATGTAAGGTTAAGAGCGATTCATTTTATGTAGTTGTCAGTAGCATTATTTTGTTGGATATTTGGATGTTATCTGCATGCCTGTTGGAAACTTTTTATTAAATCATATGCACAATAAACTTTTTAAATACCTCTGATAAATTGAGAATGATACCACAACTTTAAGATTGTTAATTTATTTAGTGTTAAGAATAATATTTTTTTCTTTGGTCTATGCCATTATATTTGGAAGTAATTCTGAAGTGTTGGAAACAGTATACCACATAGAAATGATGGTAAGGCAATAATGGATAATGTCTACATGTGTAGGTTATACAGTACCTTCATAATTACATAATATTTCTCACATACAAAATGTTCAGTATAAAAGTTCTCTTATTGTGTGTTCCTTTTACTAGCCAGTATTATCAGTGTTGTAGGAAGGAAACTTGAAGTTTACCAAATAAATACTATCACTGAAGAAATGCAGTCAGAAATGAAGAACTTAATGCTTCTGGTCTCTTCCCACAATGATTCATTTCCTTTGGCCATTTCCAGATTGATACTACAGATTCTCAACATCAGTATCAAATTCCTTAACAAAGTTTTTTTTTTTTATTTTAGGGTACATATTTCACTAAAACCTTTCATTCTGCATTTAATTAACTTCTTAATATTTTTTTCAAGCAGAGGGCAACTGTAGTGCCTGCATTTTGGATTTTAGAAAATTTCATGAAGTTTTCCACGTTGCTAATGTTTCCATCACAATAACAGTGAAGAATGGTACTTGATAGTATGCTCAATAATGGAAAAGTTATGGTAACAGACTTACATGTCTAAAGCTTACTAAAATATAAAACAAGATCTTTTTCCTGTTTATGGCAATAGTTGTAGTATGACAAAGGGTTTAATTAAGCAGCAGCATTTTCAAGTGTGCAATAGGCAACTTTGCACATGGTAATGGCCAGTAAAACTAATGTAGACACATGGGAAACTTGGTATATAGGGTTTCGTATCTGTGTTAAAAACAATGACGGCTAATCTGTGATATATTTTAATGCTGGTGTTGCTTGATCTTTGGATGTGTGTGCTATGCACACATCTTTATTGTCAAGTATGCACATACTGAGCTCACTTAAAAAGTTAGCAAGACAGTAATGCAATGTTACAATTTTTTTTTTCTTTGTTTGGGTGTATGGTACAGTTTGAGCTATCATCTTGGCTTAAAAAACAAAAAAAAAATGCCCAACATGCAGAGTATGGTCATCGAATCAACCAGTCAGAGCATGATAAAAATACACTGGTATTTTTTTTAGTCAAGCTCAGTTTTAATGTTAATTATTTGTAATATTAAAAAATTGCATACATGGTTTATGGGTTTAGTGCTTCCCCATGAATATAATGTGTACCATGTTAAAGAATATAAATATTAGCACAAAAGAGGAGCTTTTTCTCTCTCTCTCTCGACTTTCTTTGAAGAGCACGAAATACATGATATACTTCCAGTAAGCCAATATGACTAGTTAATTTTACTGGCCTTCTAATTTGTCCTCTTAAATTTTAATTTAAAGATTTAAATTTTGTATTTATATTTGTGGGCTTGAGTTCCATATGCAAGGTTATGGTGTATGGCCAACAGTCAGTTTTTGCATACTAAGTGATATTAATGCATGGAGTATTATACATACCAAGTTTACTCTTAGAGTTGTTATTGAATGTTAGCTCATGTGAGTAAATATGTATGAGGTAACCTTCAATGCTATTTTCTCAAATTATCTTTGTGTAGTAGTGATTGCTATTGAAATGTATTTGTGCATAGTTTTTTGTAAATAAAACTGCCTGTCTTTCTCAGTACTAAAGTATTTCAGAAATACTATCCAGTCACTGAAATTTGACATGTTTCATTTCTTCCATCAGTGGCATTTTTTAATAAGCTTATGTAAATACCTTGCAGAGGAGGTGCATTGATGCTAGTGAAGGGTTCTTGATCCAGGAATTGAACCTTCCCTATCTCATTAAATCTGCCTCTCATTCCCTATGGTACTTTAGTCCCCCCCCCCTCCCATTGCTGAATGAGGGTTCTTAGCCACAATGAGTGGCTTTTGATCCGAGGAATTAGATCACTTGTATTCTTCCTTGGATCAAATCTAAATACTGTACTCCTTTCCGTTTGGCCTCATTATTAAGGAAGTTTCTCCTTTTCTTTATAAAATCCAGCTATTAGACAGGACGAAGGGACTATGTATTATTGGCTGTTCTAACATAGCTTCCCTTTGTAATGCTGCAGTGATTTTAAGAGTGAAGGGCTATTTATCCAATGAATTGGACGTGATCTCCCATTCCTTGGCTTGAACTTGATTACCTCTCATTTACCTAGGTTCTGTATAACCTCTATGGGTTTAGTGTGCTGTATAGCCCTTGTGGCTTAGCACTTCTCTTTGATTATAATAATAATATGGGTTTAGCACTCTGACTATAATAGTACAAATCAAGATTAGGTCCTAGATGCTGGTGAGGGGCTCCCCTCAAGGAAGGTTCCTTGATGTTGGTGAGGGGCTCTTGATTTAGGGAATTGGATCTGTGCTCCAGTTCCCCGAATTTAGCCTGAATGCCTTCCACACCCCCCCCCCCCAGGTGCTGTATAATCCTCCAGGTTTAGCGCTTCCCCCTTGATTATAATAATAATGGTGAGGGGCTCTTGATCTAAGGAATTGGACTTGTGCACCTCTTGGATAAAACCAAAATGCCTCCCATTCCACTGGGTTTAGTGCCTGCTCCATGAGTATATAACTCCTGATGGAAATAAAGATTAGAGTATGTACAGTGACCCTCTTACCACCTGTCCTCTTCAAGGGGGTCTCCTTGGTGTGGTGAAGCTCTTAGTCCGAGGAATTAGACCTTTTGGTCTCCTTCCTCAGGCTAAACCTAATTACCCCTAATCCCCCCCCCCCCCTATCCCATACTCCTCTTCCCCATTCCTCCCTTATTGCCTTCCTATTTTCAGCCTTCCCACAGGCACTAGTTCCTAGGTAGGGGAAGGGTACTGGGGTGCATCCCATTCTGTTAAGGTCCTTGGCAGTAGTGTAGTTTGCCGTGGAATCTGGATCACCTGGGGATGTCCCGATCCCCCTCCTGTCTCCCGGGAGGTGGTTTTAGGTGTCTTTCGGGTGACGGGTGTGTATCTGGAGGCTACCTTTCAAATTCCAGGGGGTGGTGGCCAAAGGAGGTATGCTTTGTGGCAGGTGTCTGGCCGTCGTCTTTTGTCCGCCGAGGTGGCTCAGCAGATGTGAGGTTGCTATCCCAGATTGCTGGTTTACTGGCATGAAGGGTAGGGTATGGCACGGGTTCCATGCTGCATCTGCACTACTTGCGGTGGTGAGGTCCTCTTGGGTGCGGAGGGAGATTTACAGCCCTTTCATTCCTCCTAGGAGCTATTCCTCCATGTTCCCCCCCCCTTTTTCTAAAAACAAAAAGAAAAGGAGTGACCTAACCATGGAGTTCCCAATCCATGAACCTGCTCCCCCCCCCCTCAGGGCCCCTTCCTGATACAGCACTGTCCTGAACCTGCCTCTATTTGACCACTCTTCTTTTTGATTATAATAATAATATTTGACCACTCTTTGGACATTTCTAATGCCCCTGCACTTCCTGCTGGTGCCGTTTCAACACCTGCTCCAGGTACCAAGGTTTCGACTGACTCCTTTGATATGTCTGACCTCCGCTCTTCTTTGACTATGCTTCCGTTTTCTACGGTGTGGCGATTTTTGGATCTCCCATGTCAGACCAACTCCAGTCATACACCTAAACATGCCCTAGACCATTACCTGATAATACTTCTTCGCTTCCTTCTTATTCTACTCGGAAAAGACCGGCACGACACGCACTCCCTTTAGTCCAAAATACGCACTGGACTAAGTTTTTTACTCTACGACCAACTTCTACTGCCTATCTTTACGACCACAGTATTGGCAAGGCGCTCCTACACCATGTTGGAAGAGATATATCCTTTAATTCTCTCGAGCGGCACATGCATCATCACTGTCCAGAATGCTAACCAAGCTCACGATCTTTCCCTCCTATCGATACTATTCCTGTAACTATCAAAAAACATCATTCCCTCAATTCTTGTAGTGGTACTGTCATAATGCTCCATACCATTGTCCAACAGAATTTCCAGACATGTGGCAATGACATTCTGGAACAGCTAGAACTCCAAGGCCTCAATCCTCATAGTAGACTCTTACGTCCTCCCTGCTCACAGGCGGAGATGATACCCTTGCAATGTAGCTTGCTTAACTTTTGACTGCCGTAAGCTTCCGTCCTCTGTATATATAGGATGCCGTTTACAAGTTCGAAAGGTGATCCCTACACTGCAACAGTGTAGAAATTGCTGGCGTTTTGGTCATCCAGTAAAATATTGCAGGTCCGTTGCCGAATGCCCAGTCTGTGGTGCCGACGACCATACCAATACGTCTTTTAGTCTACCTCCTTCTTGCCTTAATTGTCATGAGGCTCACCTATCTTACTCTCGCCGCTGAAAAGTTTACTTAAGTGAGCATGAAATCCAGTGTCTCAAAGAGGCAGAAGGCCTCTCATGTGCTATGGCAGTCTCTCATCTATGCCTCTGAGGGAAACTTGAACATATTTCTCATTCTCGAGTTACTAAACATCCCTCCTCCTCTGGGGTACCAACTTCTGCAGCCTCCTCTGTGGTCACCCTTTGCACAGTCACCCCTGTCTCTAATTCTTTCGCTGTCCTGGACTCAGAGGTCCCTACCTTGGCATCTCATTCAGTTCTCACCTGTTCCTCTTTTTACTCACAAATTTGTGTCTACGAGACCTCATACAACACTTACTCCCCATCGCCCCTCTCCTCCGAAGTCCAAAACATCCCCTTTAAAATCTCCTTTCACCCTTCCTTCCCTTCTGCAACCTGCTCATTTTTCCTTCCCAGTCTTGGTACCTGGTTTTTTACCTCTAACTGGCTCTGTTACAAGTGTGGAGGTTCGTCCTCCTCCTCGTACAGTACCTTCTTCCCCTGCCCCCTCCCAGGTTGCTTCCCCTCCCAAGCTTCTCTAGTTCCCTCTACCCTTTCGTTCCTCCCTACTTTAGTACAGTCCATCATCTCCCCAATCTTTACTCGCCCTCCTTCTTTCATCTCCAATATTGTACCACATACAACATCCTTGTCCTCAGAAACACTTGAAAGCTATCAGAATGTATTGAGGAGGCTAGACCATTGATGGACACCGATCCACCTCCTATTCCTCCTCTTCACTCTTCTCTGTCTACACAACTCCTTTCTTCATAGCATCCCAATCCTTCAGTGCTTAACAGTCTTCTGCTACCTCCACATGTGGACTTTTCTAACCCTATTAGTCCGTAGATACCTCTACCTTCACCTTCGCGAATCATGGCCTATTTACAGTGGAATATCTGCAGCCTTGGAGGCAACCAGGGTGAGCTCTAGGTGTTGCTCTCCCAGTTTTCCCCATTTGTGTTTGTTTACAAGAACCCAAATTATGCTTTGCTGTTCTCCATCCCATCTTAAGCTATGATTTATTATATTCATCGGTTCCTTTTTCCACTTCTTACAAACACCAGTATTCCATACTGTCAGCTCTTTGTCCGTACTTTGCTGCATTACACTGCAGCCTGTATCCACTTGAAGTGGTATACAGTCTGCTCTTTGTATCTCTCTCCTTCTTGGGCCTTATCTATCCTGGATATTGCATTTCTGGTTTCTTCCTTACTGCCACCACTTCTGTTACTTAATGATTTTAATGCCCACCATTTCCTCTTGTGGGGGGGTCTCACTGTGACTCCCATGGCATTCAGTTGGAGGCTTTTCTCACTTCTCTCCCCCTCCATGTTTCAAATACAGGTTCTCCCACCCATTTTGACCCTTGTACTCGTTCTCTTTCTTGCATCGATCTCTCGGTTTGCTCTTCCTCCACTGCACTAGACTTCACCTGGTCTGTCCTCCCAGACTTACATGACAGCAATCATTCTCCAATCATTCTTTCTTTGTATTCACCACCTCCTCGTAGACCGTGCTGGCAATTTGACTGAGCAAACTGGAACCTTTACTCTCATCTAAATCCTCTTAAAACCCTCACTCATCTTTCATGGAGGGCTGATCGTAGAAATCTCCTTCTACATTCAGCCCTAATTTTATCAAAGCTCAATTATGGCGACCAGATATATTCAGCGGCCTCTCTTGCAACTTTCTCTAGCCTTAATCTCATCCCTCACCAGGGATTATGCCTCAGTGCTTTTCGCTCTTCACCGGTTGAGAGCCCCTATGCAGAGATGAATATTCCATCCTTGTCCAATCGCCATGATGCTCACTGCCTTTGCTATTATATTAAGTCTCATGACCTCCGCAACCCTTCCATATGTAGGATAGTCACTGATGTTAGTAGACAATCTTTATTTGTTCATCACCCGTTTACTCCGTCCCTTTTCTCTTCACCTACATTCGCTCATCTTCTCTTCAGTTACCACCTTTCTATGTTCATGTAGCATCTCACTTTTCCCTACCCCCTTGAGAAGTTCCAATGGTTCGAAAGCCCAACTGCCTACAGTGGCTTTTCACTCTCTTTTTCTTAACCACTTCCAATCTCATTCTCATGCCATTGCAGTGTACACCGATGGTTCCAAGTCTTCTGATGACATCGGATTTGCAGCAGTTTCCAGACAGCATCGTGCGAGGGCATTTATTATCCTTAGCTAGCATTTTTACGGCTGAATTGTATGCCATTCTTGTAGCACTTATCTGTGTTGCATCCATGCCTGTGTCACCATTTGTGGTCATTTCAGACTCCCTTAGTGCTTTACAGTCTATACGAAAATTTGATACACCTCATCCCCTAGTTCTATGTATCCAA